GGGTGGCGGTGGGGGAGGGGGAGGGGGTGGCCGAGCACGGTCAGGGTGCCTTGTAACCATCCGTTGCACGCGCATCATGCGACGCATGTGCCGCTGACGCGCCGCCAAGTCGTCACGCGCGGAGTCGTGATCCTCCAGCCCCGCCTACATGACAGAAATGGACAGGAGGGATGCAGCATTGCATGCTGTATCCAGCCAAGTCACCATTGATTTGCATACATACCATCCTCGCTGATCTCTGCAGTGCCTGGCGCAGCGCTGCATCCTCTCCCTGGCGCAGCGCTGCATCCTCTGAGGCCTGGCGCAGCGCTGCCTCCTCTAAGGAGAAGCCGGGATCGATGGAATGATTTTCCACGCGGACGGTCCGCGGAAGCGGGGGGCGGCTGCGCACAAACGGACGATCATCAATATCCTGCACAAATGCACACACACGCACACACACACACACACACACACACAGATGCGTACACACGTCCATGGGCATGGATTCTGACTTACAGGCCCCGGCTCCCGAAGTTGCTGCTCATCGTCGTCTATCCAGGATGGGGTCTCATCTGGTGCCTCCCAGAGAACCCCTCGCTGACGCTCCGCACGCCTGTGTGCGAGGCCCACATCACGGTGCCGCAAGAATGTCTGTCGTGAGTACTGGGGGCCCGCCGCGTGTGGGGAGACGGACACGGGAGAGCTCGGAGTGGCGCAGACGAGCGAACGGTGACGGGCCTGCATACCAATGGACATGACATCCATTTGAAAGGCGGGGGCAGGGTCTGTCTGTGTTTGTCCGTGTCTTGCATTTCGTACCGCCGCGTCACGCAGGTTGAGCCGACATATCGGGCACGTGGATTTCTTGACTAGCCATTCATCCAGACAGTGCACTGACCGACCGACAGACACAGACAGACAGACACCAACAGATAGACATACGGCCGCTCTTCTCTGCAGTGTGCGACTGTGTTTCTGATCTGTACTGTGAAATGAATGACCACACTCGTCGATACGCCGTAGCGGGGCCCCAACGCGCTTCAAATCGTAGCAAATCGGACACATCTGACCGAACGACACACACACACACACACTCACATTGATGGAGTGCATGTGCACTAAAAGCCCTCCCTGTTTGCTCACCTGGTCGTCAGCTTTATTGGCCTCATCGCCCCCTTGTCCCTTCCCCTCATCCCCAGACGACGATGGCCGCGAATCGCTGCCCATGCCGCCCTCACCAGCCCCGCTGCTAGCTGACGTCGAAGGCGACGGCCGCGCATCATCGCCACCACTACAATCATCGCTACTGGAGCTGCTAGGCTGTGGTCCCGCCCCCTCCCCCTTGCTGTACTCGGCCGACGTGGCCTGCAGAGACCCAGCGGCAGCACTGCCGCCTTCTTGGTGACCTTTGGCCGTGGTCTGGCTGTCTATGGAGGGAGGGGGGGACGGGGGAGGGAGGCCCTGCAGCTCTGCTGGGTCACACCGCGACAGTATAGAGTCGATGACGTGCTCGCCCTGGACAACGATAGAAGTCGACTGACGGATCTCACTGCAAAAACACACACACCTCATTGACCGGAGGACAAGCTGTGCTTCTGGTCTTACGCGAAGGTCAGAAGCGCTCCGCTGGGAGGATGTCGTCCCCAGTGGCTGGGAGGTGGGTCTGCGGGATGAACCATCCGGATAGGCCGAGCACTAGGACGAAACCCAGGCAAATCCAGCGGTGGGAAATCTTCTCTGTCAACTTCCACACGTTCCCAGCGCCCTCCATGCTCCACCATTATCTGGTGTCGGCGCTGTCCCCCCTCCCCTCCCTGCCGCTCGCCTACGCCCACCGAATTGTCCACCACACCTTCCAGGTTGTCATCACTACTGTTCACCCTCGAGTTGCCGCTGAGCAAGCTGCGCAAGGCGTTGCCGGTCGAAGCAGATCTGGCTGCTGGTCGTCGAACCGGAAAAGCAGGAAAATCATCGTCGTCCATTCTTGCCTCCCGAGCCTTAGGGTACGCGAAACACAGCTCGAGGGGCGGTAAACACACGGGTCGCTTCTCATCCCCAGCCTTTCTCGAATCAGCCTTTCTTCACTCACCGGCATCGGTGTGATCGGTAGGTGAGTCACATTGCATGCCTTCAGGACTGCGCCCTGCCACCGCGGTTCACTGGAGGCTCACAGAGTGGTCAAGAATGATCATTAGAGCCAGCATGCATGACCTGTGCCCACCTCTGGTCTCTCCGTGATCATCTGCAGAGTCAAAAATTGGTTCCTTTGTTGTCTTGCAGTGTGCCACTTGCCGTAACTCGGAGGACCGAGCACAAGTTCCCCTGGCTGCAGCGCACCGCAAGGCCACTTTTTGCACAGTCGTCCTCTGCAGCTGCTCCATCTACCAGGTAGGAACAAGGGACGACAAGTTCTGTGCAGAACGGGCAAGTTCTTGGCCTGGGTTCACATGAATTCGGGTGTCGACCGGCATCATGTTCTCAGCCTCGACTTCTGCGAAGAACATGATGGGGGCTTGGGACGTCATCGTGTCGCTGGTCGCTGCTGTGCGCCAGGTCCTGCTGGTGACGATGGTGGCCTTCACGGGGCCTCTGCAGAAAATCGGAAACATCCAGAGTATGTATGCACTGCGATGGGGGGGAAAGTGGGAACGGTGCATGGTGTGTGGTGTGTCGGTGCGAGCAGGCGCTTCGGCCGTCAGCACGCACGCACCCAACAGCCCGGATATCGAAATCGACTGGGTAATACTCTCATTCGTGCCACACACAGACACACCCCCAAGACACAGCCACGACACACACACAGCGGCTTCTTGTGTGGTGTTGTTCGTTCCCCACACGTCAGTCTGACGACGAGGCCTGGGACTCGTATCTGCTGAAGAAAAAGAGGATGATGCGCAAAGTGTCCGGCCCTCTGCCGCTCCCGCCCCCCTTGCCCAAGGGACCTGAGGACGATGAGGTGTGGGACAGCTATCTCCTGCTGAAGAAGCGCCAGAACGCCAAAGGCCCCGTGGACCCCATCTCACTTTGCGGCCCCCTGCCCTGGTGAACAAAGCCTTCAGCAACCCACCAATTTCCATCTAAAACAAAGAAGACTGTCCAAACTGCCCTATGGAAGAGGAGAGCCCTTTGGGGTCTGTCTGCCTGGCTGTGTCTGTGTGCTGTCGACACGTGGCTGGATGGATGGACGGATGGATGGATGGATGGATCGTGTGTTGCCCAGCAAAGTGAGTGGCTGCCTGTCTGCCTGTCCTCCCGCTCAAGTCACGGCTTTAGCATTTTCCCCCTGCCATCTACATCTCATGCATCCCTGTGTGCAACGTCTCTCCGGCGGCGTGTAGACACACATCACCGTTTCCCTACTGACAGACAGACAGGTAGCCACTTATCTGCATGCTCTGACGTGCCGTGCGTGCGTGACGGTTTTGTTGTCATGGATTGGTTTCTGTGTGTGCGTGGGATGGATGAGACTGGATGACACGAGATACCAAAGACCTGCGATGCGATGGGAGTGAAGCGATCTCTACGGCCAAGCAGGAATTGCACTTACATCTACACACACTCGCCCCAGAGTCGTCTCAATGTTCCTTGCGCCCTCTCAGCCCAGCAAAGACGTAATGGAAGCAAAGCAGACGAGAAGCGGCCTTCCCCCTGCTGCCCGCTACTGATGGCCCGGCTGCCGCTGCCATGAGAACGACAAATGGCCTGGTGCTCTCCATGTGTGTGGCTGTCCAATGTGTCAGCATTGTGGGTTCTGCAGAGGGTGCGATGGGATGTCTCCTCCTTCATCCCCACGGATGCACGCGCTTGTGTGCTCACGCACAGAAACGCCGGCCAGTGTGGCCTCTCGCAGTGGCGCAGCGTGGATGAGACCGTGTGATGATGTAGCTGAGGCGAGACGTGGCTTCATGAGAGCTATTGTTCTGGCTTCTTCTCATTTTTGCACATCACGACAATGTCATCCCACGTCGCTCATGTGCTGCACTCATGTTTCTTCTCGTCTTCCTCTGGTCATGGCTATCACCAGTCATGCCGTGACGCGATGAGCTTTTCCACGGGTGGCGTGGGCTGTCGCTTGTGTCTCGGGGCTGCCGTGTGCTTCTTGTAGAGGCGCTCCTTGGGGGAGTGCACAGCCGGAGCGATGATGTCTTCCTCAGTGCATCCGGCGCTGACAAGAGAAGACACCGCAGGCAGTGGCTGATCGATTGTGTCTCGCTCGCTGACCCACCTTAAGACCACCCGCCACTTCTGAGTGCCGGCCTCAGGGTCTTCGCACCACCAGTCAGCATGCTCATCCTCCACAAGCCGGCCTGAAGTGATCGGCTGCACGAGAAACGCACCGTCGAGCCTCGCAGTAGACGGATACACGCACATGTATTCTCATGATCACCCACATCTGCTTTGAAGGTTGGTGTGTCTGTGTTGACGCAAAGGTGGATGTTGCAGCATGGCTTGGCCCCGTCGTACTCGCTCGCAAGCGTGACGTCGCTGCACATGCTCTCCGTGCCCTTCTGTGGGTCGGACCCCGTGCGCCTGGCGAGGGCAGGGCATTGCCGCACACGTGTTCAGATGGGCGCCTTGCTGGCCTACCTGACGCATGCTGTGATTGGGGCTGTGGTGTTGTTCACATCTGTGGTTGCCTTCACAAAGAGGTCCTCTTCAGTTGTCCAGTAGAGATTGTTGCACAAGGGGGTCCGACCTGAACGGACAGCATGGTTCAGAATCTCCCTTCGGCTGCCCAGCAGCCAGGGGAAGAATGGTACCTGTCACATTGTCTGCCTCGACAACTGCGATGATTAGTGCACAGCACAGCACCAGCAGTCTCATCTTGCCTCTCGAGTCTCCACGGGCTTCTCCCGTCTCGGCCCCCACACCCCCAGTCAATTGCGCCCAGTCTCAGACAAGTCTCAGACTGGGCGCATCAGTGGGTGGGTGGCCTGTGTGCCTTCACAATGGGTGGGTGGGAGGCGTGTCTCTTCTTAAACCCTGCGATTCAAAACCCTACACAAGGGGAAGGCAATTGGGCGAAGGCGCTCCGTTGTCTATCTACGGGAATAGGACGTGGGAGGGGATGAGACAGCGGCTGAAGCTGGTGGTGTTGGCGCCCGTCGGCCGTTGTGTGCTCACGGTGCACCACAGGTGGTACGACACGGGCGCCGAGTGTGGCGTTGCCGCACATGGCCGGCCCTCCGATAGACAACATGCCTGCACACACCACACACCACAGACAGGAAAGGGGTGTCATTGTGTGTGCATCGCATCCTCCCATTGATGGGCAGACCGTCGGAGCATCCGATGAAGAGGTACACCAGCAGCAAGAGGAACACCCGCCGTGTCCCAGTGCGATAGCCACAACGGGGTGGGCGAGGGCGCTGGGATGACAGGGCGGCGAGCATGATGAGAGAGATGAGGAAGATCAACCCATAAGCGACGCCGAGACCGAAACGCAGACCGATGAGCATTCCCGCAATCAGCAGGAAACCCAACCCGAGCACCCATTCACGCGTTCTTTTGTGGTATCGATGACCAAACATGACGCCGCCGAGGCCGGCCACCGCAGAAGGAGTCAACCAGAAATAAACCATGACGGATAAGGAGGCCAGATAGCACAACCACGGCAGCTCCGAGGACCGGGCCAGCCAGTCGATGAACCCAAAGAAGGCATCGTCGAGATCGTGCTGGGTGAACGACAGCTGGGTGAGGTCAAACGCCAGCAGGCGCTCCATAAGAACTTCTGGAACCAGTCGCCATAGCCAGGACATGAGCCGCCAGAGCCATAACACATCCATGGATGGATGGATGGATGGAACCGCAGATCCTAAGTGCAACTGTGACAAGGGCGTCACCTAACGTCCGGCCAAACTCAGATTCGACGCTTCAACAGCACCTACAGGATAGCACGTCGATCAATGCCAAGCTCGCAAAGAAGGGAGAGGAGCCGGCAACGATGGGACGTCCGCTGTTCATCGCTCTGTGCCTGTGCGCACTGCCCTCATTTTTTGCACTGAATGTCAGCTCCTCTCTACATTTTAAAGGTGGTCAGTGCTCCTCGAAAGAAGGTCAGCAAACGAAGGACGACTCGGACCCGCCACAACAGAAAAAGATGCATTTGCAATGGTGCAGGTACAGAAGATGGGTCATGCTCGCTCCAAAATGCCACTACTTCTCTCTCCTCCCATGCCTTCGCCGGTAAAGAGCACCAAAACGTCGATATGACGCACGCGGACCCCTTCTTCGGTGGTTTTCGCAGATTCTCGTGGAAAGGCTGGCCCGTTCTGGCCCTGTCACGTCTGGACGGACTGCAATGTGCACACATGCAGTCCTCCTCAATGTACATGTGGGAGTCCATGCGCACCCAGCAATGACCCTGACGGCCTGCTGCCCAAGCTCAACATCGTGGGCTGTGACTTAAAGGAGGAGGGGCTTCGGATGACACTGGACGGCCGGACGGCCAGCGAGCCTTTCTGTCGCCCTCGATGTCTGAAGAGGGGCTTGACTCTGCTCAGCTTCCTGAAACCCCTCGCGTACCGCTTCCAGGACAACGTGGAGGTGAGTCACGAGATCACCCATGTCGGTCGATTCGGAGATATTGTTGGCCTGCAGGACCCAAGCGATGAGGCGGATCCCCGAGTAAGCTTCTACAGCGGCGACCTGTCGCCGCGATGCCTCCTCGCTATCCCGAGGTACCCCGCCACGAAGCTGGTCAACATTGAAGATGCCCTCTATGATGACGAGACACGACAGAAGCCGCCTCCTCTACTCAAGAAGACAAAAGGCGGCGTCGCATACACAATCGACATGGGGGTGCCGGCGAAGAAGAAAGAAGAACCCGCAAAGGACAAGAAGGAGAAGCGTGGTGGCAAGTATCTCAGCCTGTGCGGGGCTGAAGGAGACCCGCCCTGCAATGACCCTCTGGTGTGTGATGACCCCTGTGGCAAGCGGGGGGACACTTACTGGATGGACGACGTGAGGGGCAAGGTAGTGTCTCACCTGAGGAGCCTGGGGTGCGGGTGGCCCAGTATCTGTGATGGCAGGCGGTAATAGATGTTGTGGAAAAGCGATTGCATCGTCAATCAACGTTGTTTGTTTCTCTTTCGCGTGTAGGTGCCTCAAGAAGGACTTCACACTGTACAGCTACATGATGCGCAAGGACCTGGTGCCTGAGAGCCGCCCCGACGACGCTTTCAAGCCCTGGGAGTTCCGCTGCGAGGCCAGCGACAAAATCAAGTCGGAGTTGGACCTTCTGCCGCCAGATGTCGTCTACACGCAGGTCAAGAAAAACGAACCACTGCCGTTCCAGCGTGTGGTGCAGCAGCAACCAGGTGTTCCACAGCATGTGGTTCACGAGGGGCCAGGCGGACCACCGGCGAAGAAGCCGCAGGCGGAGCCACACAAGCCGAAGGGGAGTCAGCCAGCCTACTTCACGCGGGAGAACCCGCCGCCGCCTGAAGGGCTGCCTCCTTACTTCCAGGGCCAATAATTCACGGAGATAATCCGGCTGACATCAAATGCAACGAATTGGCAATGGCGTGTGACGCTGGCATTGCGACAAGAGACATGTACAGAAAAGACTCAGCTGCAGTGCACGTATGGACCTTATGTGCTGGGTGCAACTGACAATGAATCGCGAGCATTGCAATGGCGCGTGCCGATGAAGGGCCGGATGCATCCACCGCTTTCGCCGTGAGGCCGCGAAAGCGGCCTCACGATCAAATCGATCACTGGATGGCGAGCAGTGCGACGGCGTGTCGTTTCTGCTACATCCCTTCTTGGCCATCTGGCGAGGATTCTTCTGAGCTCGCATGAGAGCCGAATGCTTCCTCCCCTGTTGATAGCGAACGAAGGAACGCCTGCAACGCTTCGCTGCCAAGCTCCCTCAGCAGCTTGTTTGCCTACATAGATCCGCGCAACGAGGATGGTGGTTGCGCATGATCAGGACGAGAACGCATATGAGGGCGGCATTGGCGGCGATGGCGTCATCGCCGTCAAGAAGATAGAGAAGATTGACATGTCCTCCTTTGACAGCTGCAGGAAGGAGATACGGCAGCGAGTGTGGGAGGCGGCATCAGACATCGGGTTCTTCCAGCTGGTCAACCACCTCGTGCCGAAGGACATGATTGCCAAGATGTTCGACTACAGGTCAGCCGACCCACCACACAGATGAAGACGCGGACGGTGGCGTGTGTGCGTGCATGATTATGTTGTTTGTGTCGTGTGGTGCTGCAGCGAGCAGTTTTTTTCCTTGCCGATGGAGAAGAAGCAGGCGCTCGCCTACAAGAAGGAGTTCAATGCGGGATTCGAGTATCTCGCCCAGATCCGGCCGTCCACAGGCACTCCTGACCAAAAGGAGAGCTTCACGGTGGGCAGGGAGGGAGGGAGGGGAAGAAGCCGGACATTCGTGTGAACATGCTACGCTACGTCTGATGTGTGGTGCTCTCTCCTCTCTACCTGCACTGCCAGATGTCTGGTCGTGCCATGACGCGTGACTTCTGGCCATCGGAGGACGACCTGCCTGGCTTCAAAGAGTTCGTCATCAAGTTCATGCGGGTGGGTATACTGCCGCAAAACACACACACGTCCCATCCTGGTGTTGATATGCCCTGCTTGCCTGCAGACGTCCTACAAAGTGGCCAAGCAGCTGTTCGAGTGCTTTGCTGAGTCACTGGGGTTCGAGCCGGACTTCTTCAACCTGCTGCACGACCTTGACGCCGAGGACTCGCAGATCGCCCTGCGGTTGCTGCACTACCACGACTGCACTGGAAGGACGTTCGCTCCAGGCTACTGGCGGGCCGGCGCACACACCGACTGTGAGCAGGGCAGCAGACAGGAGGCAGATGCAGTGCGTCAGTGTGTGTTAGATGATGGATGGATGGATGGATGTGTGGATGCAGGGGACAGTCTGACTTTGCTGTATCAGCGTGAGGGTCAGGGTGGCCTGGAGGTGTGTGGAGGAAAGGCAGCCCTCGAGGGCAAGGTGGAGTGGTCGCCTGTCGAGCCCAGGCTGGGAGATATCACGGTCAGCAGGCCAGAGGAGGATGCTGCCACATGATCAGTCAATATCTGCCGGTGTGTACGTCTATGTGTGTGTGTGTGCATGTCTTCAACAGGTCAACATCGGTGACATGCTGAAGCGCTGGTCAGACGATCGCCTCAAGTCCACTTGGCATCGCGTGCGGCTGCCGAGGGAGGGCGAGTACATGGGGCCACGGTACTCGATCGCTTTCTTCACGGTACAGACAGACAGACAGACAGACACCCGCCACACACGTATGGACACTCGCCCATCCATCCATCCATCCATCCATGCCCCCTCCGTAAAATTCTGTGTGTTGTGTGCAGCAAGCCAACTACTCTGCAGTGATCCAGGTCAGCATAAAGGGCCAGGCGAGTGGGTCGGACCCGGTGTGTGATGTTTGTGAACAGGGTCCCGGCAAGGCCTACCCCGCCATCACCGCAGGCGAGTTCCAGCTGCAGCGCATCAACAACAGCTACGGCACCAGAGGGGCATGAGTGCGAGTGAATGGGAATCGGTGCAAGTCGAGCGACGACGGAGAGGCACTCAAACCGCTGTTGGGTACGTGGTTTTTATGCCGTCAGTGGCATGCCGTACCGCTGGTCGACGGACAGCCGGCCGCTTTTTGAGGTGCTGCGGGTAGACAGGCCGTGTGCATGCATATGCATGTACATGCTGCTAGTTTAGTGCGCGATATGACAGGGTCCCTCCGGGGGTTACAGACACGAGTCTCGTGAAACACAATAACCAACCAACCAACCAAAAGGCGGAGCACCAGATCAGCAGACAGGACTACATAGTGTAAGGTGATTATAGCAGAGGTGTTCAATCAGAGAGAGCTGCACTTTTCTCTCTCATCTCTGTCGTCAGGATACACCTGTCTGGCTGGGTGGAGGGAGATCTGCCTGTCTTACTCATTGAGCCCTCGGTCGGGATGACAGCGCCGCATCGCATTCATCGCCCCCATGTGCTGCTGGCGCTCATGGGCAGCGCCTGCTTCCTTGGCTTGGTCCAGGGGCAGAATGTGCAGACGCCTGAAGGTAGGCATGTTGGGTGGTGCACGGCAGCCACACGCAGCCGCATCATATGCAGTGGTGGTTGCGTTGTTCAGATGTCGAATGCGCACCCGATGGCCGAAGGAGTGGCATATGCTTCGGGACGCCGGAAGCGACAGTGGCTCCGCCCCCAAACGCGTCATGCTACGAGTGGGACTTCGACTACGAGGGCTACAACCTCAGCGAGCCTGTGATCGTCAGCACGACTGGCATCAACGACGTCGATGAGGCGCCGTCCGTCGGGTTGGATGTCAACGCCTTGGGGCACATGGTGGCGCGTCCCTAGTAACTGTCACGCACACACACACACATACACGTGTGCACTGCTGCACCTGCTGTGCTGTGCTGTCTCTATGTGTGTCAGCGACTGCCAAAGAGGGTGTCAGGCATATGACGCCTGCAAGGGGTGGACATTCTCGAGAATCAAGGGCTGCTTCCTCAAGAGCTCCGATGCCGGGCGCCGGCACATGCCCGAGGAGACCAGTGAGAACGGGATTGCCAACTGGTATGTGTCCGGCGGGAAATACAGCATGGACTGCGACAGAGGTCGGCCGGCACCAGGAAACGAGCAAAGAGAATCGGCCCTCTGTCGTGCGAAACGAACTCGCGCTTGTTTCCGGTGTCCGTTGGACTGGATTGCAGGTGCGTTTCGGTCTCCTTGCTTCGAGTATAACGGTAAAACATGCATGAGGCCTTTTCGTGTCAACTACTGCCGAATCGCTTCTTCTCAGTGGCCTGCCTCTTCTCCAACACTCGCCATCACTACCGGGAGGGCGTCGAGAATATCACTCTGGACGAATGCCACGACCTGTGCAAGGGGGTGCCGGGCTGTCTGGCCTTCACCTTTTTCGACCGATTCCCCCGTGACGAGCGCGTCATCCGAAACGTGTGCCAGCTCTGCGGCCAAAAGGACCGGAAGGTCTGCCAGGCGGGGGCTATCATGGTAAGCAATACCCAGACATCCACACGTGTGTAATGATGCTCTCTGTCTATCTGGGTGTCTACTTTCGGCCAGGGATGGGTGGAGGTACGAACGTGCGACCAGGGAGGGATACTCAGATAAAGCGTCGCTACACACGTCTGCCCATGTGTGTTGGTGTGTTGGTGTGTGTGTGTGTGTGGCCCGCAGGGCCACGACTGCGGCCCGGCCCCAGGCTCAACTTGGCCGCCCCCTCCCGTCCCCCCGCTGACGCACGACGGCATGCACCAGCTGCCCGCAGACCCAGCACTCTACTATGGGCTACCAACGGAACCGAACGCACTCGCGGCGGGCAAGAAAGGCACCAAAGAGGAGAGATCATTTCACCGGGGAGATCTGGGGGCGCCGTCGTTCCTCACCAAGTCGCTTAACTACGCTGTACGTGCATACGACCTGTCGCGAGTGGGCCTGGCGAACTGCGGATGCTACCACCAGGTGCACAGGGAGGATCATAACCAGTTCCGTGCAGTGTGTTGTTTGTCCGTGTCCGTGTCGTGTTGCTGGATATCGTCACCAGGGCGTGCAGCCGGACCCCGACACCTCCACGATGATCTCCAATATCGACCTGTGAGCAGGAGACGCACAAGTCTGCAGAAAGAAGCGCAGCGAGTGACGGTCTGTGCGTTTTGTCTTCAGACTCGTCTACCCGGCCGAGGGGTGAGTCTGTAGAGGGAGCGCACCTTAGCTCGACTGACGGTCTGTGCGTTGTTGTTGTTGTTGTTGTTTCTGCGCAGATGTCAGGAGCTGGTAAACAGAGCAAATAACAGATGTGTGTGAGAGTGAAAGTGTGCGTGTGCTTGTGGAAATGTATGGCGGTGCTTTCGCTGCTTGGTGTCTGCGTGCAGTGCAGGGAGGAGCCCGACTGTGAGGCGTTCTCGTCCTCCCAGTTCAAGTGCATGCTCTGGAAGAACGTGACGTAAGCACCGCAACCCGACTCACCCAACTGTGGACGAAAGATCAGATGCATGTGTGTGTGTGTCTGTGTGTGTGCGTCTGTGTGTGTGTGCAGATCGTGGCGGCTCGATCAGGCAAGCATTGATTGGTCTCGCTCAGCTGCGCACTGATCGAGCAGTCCTGTGTATGGAACTTCGTACAGGTGGAGCCAATCGTCGTGTCCGGCCCTCGTCTGTGTCCTGGCACAATCATCGGTGGGCTGAGCACACACACACAAATAAGCACGGATGCACACAGACACTCATCAATCGGATGCCATCTGGCAGGTTCATGCGTGTGTGCGTGTGTATGTGTGTGTGAGCAGACCAGGGCTATGCGTGCTCCTTGGATCACTATCGGGCCCGGTTCTCGTCTCTCTCCCTCCTGGTGCTGAGAATGCCCGGCATATCCGTGCCCTATGGCCAGAGCTGCCCCACAGACGTACGCACCCCCTACGCACACACGCGCCGGCAGTCCGGCAAGTGAAGTGTGTGCCCGTTTGGTTCCAGGTCGACCTATACGTCATCGTGTTCCTCCTCGCCGCGGGTCTGTTGACATTTGCGGCGTACGTGACCGCTCGACAGAGCAAGAAGCACCACCCCAGCACCGTTGTGTGGCGCGTCGTTGCGGCTACCGTAGCGGGCCTCGGCACAGTGGCGCATGGTGAGCAAGGCGATGCAGCTGCGTGCGCGCGTCACAGATGGTTGCAGAGAATGCACGCATTCGTCCTTCTCGACTGTGTGTGTGTGTTGCAGTCGTGTTTGTTATATACCTGTTCCGTGTCGACTACACCGGTTGGCTCTTCTGGGCCGGCTGCATTCACTTCTTGTGCATGATTCTCTTCAACGAAATCACCGTGGTTCTCTACAATCTCACATGGGCAAGCGCAGCGCAAGGGAACACATTCATTGGCCGAAGCAGACGCACATCCCGGTGTGTGTGTATACGCATGCAGGTGACGAGCCACCCGTCATATGCCCTCACCTTCTCACGGGCCAAGCGTGACACCGACGGCAGCCACAAAAGGACCAAAAGGAAGAAAACAATTCTCGTCGACATACAGGCCGAGCAACAGCCACTCAAGCAGAAGGCCGCGACGTTTCTGGGCCACATGATGGAGCCGCCTCCGGCCCCAGACGCCACAGAGAGTGACATCAAGGGCCCCGCTGCCAGCACGGAGGAGGACGTCATGTCCTTTTGTCCCACCTTCGCCTTGAGCCACCTGTCCACTGAAGCTGTCTTCTGCACCCGCGGCCACATGATGGCGGACCTGCCGGAGGAGCCGCCCGTGTTCATCCAGAGCGGCGAATACACTCACCAAGCGGAGCTCCAGCAGCAGCAGCGGCAGCATGAGGAGCAGGATGATGGTGAGGAGGAGGTCGGCCAGCAGGAAGCAGCGCTGGAGGAGATCGACACGGCTCCCACTCCCGAGGGCATCAAGTCGACAAAGGACACCACGCCCATCTGCAGCAGCGACGTGCCAAAGGTGTTCAAGTCGTGCCCGCCGGCCTTCGCCGCTCCCCTCGAGAGCGCCACCACCAAGTCCCGCGAGTCCACGTGCAAGACCGTCAAGGAGGAGGACGCCAGCACCGATCACGCCGTCCTGGCCGTGGCCCTTGCTGACGAGAAGGACGACGATGCATTCGGCGGGGACGGCGCCGGGCTCGTGTTTGTGCTGTTCGGGTCCTTTTTCTCGATCGGCGTCCTGCACCTGGGCTGGAGCAACTTTCGATCCTTGCCGTACTTCTCCATCCCGGTCAAGAGCGAGGCCTTCCGCTCCCTCGAGCTTATGGCTCTCGTGGGATACGTGCCGATGCTGACACTGCAGGTTAGTCATTTGATGGCCATGGCAGCAGGCAGGACATCACCGACCGACCGAGCAGTCACGTCCGTCTCTGTCTGTGTCACGGTGTTCTTTCGTGTGTTGGTCGCATCCCACATGTCCACGCATTGACCAATCAGCTTCTGGCGGTGTTTCTGAGCGACAGCGATGGCGTGCTGGCCGACATCGTTCCTCCCGCCACCCTGACGGCCCTGCTGCTGACGTTGATCAACACGTGTGGCGTGATCGTGCGCTACATGGCGGGCCGATGCAGCAAGGCCTGATTGACCAACGGAACGGAGCCAGATAGTGTCTGCTCAGGAAGGGGGGCAGTGTGTGCGCGGGGGTGGTTTAAGCGAGGGTGAGTGCATGGCCAGTTTCTTCCTGCTCTCGCTCTCTGTCTGTCTGTCTGTCTGTCTGATGTCTGTCTGTCTCTGTTTTAAGTCGCTTGGCCTTCTAGTGTTTGGATGTCTCGTTTATTCAGTTGCCTGCCTGTGTGTACGTCTGCCCTCTCGCCGTCTTTTCTATCTGTCTCTGTTTGTACGTCTCTTGCTATGGCTAACTCGGCCATGTGTGTGTGCATCGGTGTGTCTGAGTGCCCGTGACGGCTGCGATGGGCGCCAATCTGAGTTTCTCTCAGAGAGTTTGCCACTTCTTTTATGCTGTGTGCCTCCTGCGCCTACGCCGGTCCCTGTATACGGATTCCTCCGCAAGAAGTGAATCTGATGATCAGAGGGAGGGCTATGGCCCTGCCGGCGGGGCGTCGCTAAACGGATCTGTCTGTCTGTCTGTCTGTTTGCGTGCGTGTCGGCGCATCCCGCCGTCACTCTGCATCCATTGTGTCTTCTTGATGCGGTCTTCTCACTTCCTCACTTGTAGTGTGCGTGTCTATAGGTGTGTCTGTATTGTGGGTCAGTCCGGTGTGTGTTGGCAGATCGAGTGGTGAGGTGTGCCAGCATACACGTGTACGTGTGGCTGCATACGATCGATCGTACCAATTCGTGCGGAGAGAAACAACTGCTGCCATCGTGCGCGTTTGTACCGGGCCTTTATTCATGTGGATGTGTCTGCGTGTCCCGACCGAGCAATCGTCCGAGAGTTGATTGCAATTGTCAGCGTTGATATCGGTGCATGTTTGTGTGTGTGTCGCAGTATGTTCGCATGTGTATGCGTCTGTGTTCTCACCTCCGCGTGAGTCACCGCTGCCAGGGGGCTTTGTGTGGTGTGGTGCTGTATGATGTGGCGGTACGTGGGGAAGAGAGGCGTCTGTTTGTACCTTAGACTTCTGGGCGTCACTCAAGGCGGGAGCCACTAGTGGTGCAGGCCAGGCTGCATGCAGCCGATCGGCGCTTATTGCTTTGTCTGCCTGTCGGTGCCAATCCGAGTGTGTGTGTGTGTGTGTGTGTTAGCGAGTGGGCGGCCAGGACGGTAGAGAGAGAGAG